CCTTTAATCATCTTAAAGTTACAATTATTCCTTAAAATATAGCATAAACAGTCATTTTACTCTTCTCTGTATTGTTTTAGTGTTAATTTGTTGTTAACAGGTATAATGAATCTAATGCGTAATGTCATCCACGATAATGTCAGCCACAGAGGTTTATTTGCATAATAAAAGAAATCATGAAAGTTTTGCTCATTTACTACATGTGTTGGTTACCCTATAAGCTAAAATGCTCGTATGGATTTAAACACGTAGACATTTTAACTTGAAAAGAAATTTGAAAAACATGTTTGACATTTTTTGGTTGCATCGCTTTTTGTAATGTCAGTCACGACAGTAAACTACCACTCTAATTGGAAAAACTGAACATGAAATTTTAAATTTACCGTATTGTGTATTCAGGTCCCAGTAACTCCCATGCCAAACAATGGTTCAGTTGGTTTAATTGTTTACACATAAGAGCTGAATTGATATTCAAAATTTGTAAAAATGTAATGTCAGTGACGGTCTTAGGCTTAGTGTAATGTCAGTCACAAAAAAACGATGCTTTTTCCATAAAAGCATTCAGGATAGCAATAAAAATCTGCCCTTCATTGTTTTCTTAGCAGGGGGCTAGGTATATCAACTTCTATTGTTGACAGACGAGGCTATTTTAATTGGGTGTTAATTTGTTTTATATTAACAGGCATATTCATTCAAAAATTCATGATTTTTCCCCCCATCTTACTACATGCGTTAGTAACCCTATTAGCTCTAATGTTCTAATGGATTTTGATCTGCAGCACTTTTAACCTGAAGAGAAATTTTAAAAACATGTTTGACATTTTTGAGTTGCATCGCTTTTTTTTTATGTCAGTCACAGCACCAATCAGGGCTCTGGAGTGCTCTGAAACGTGCAAAACTAAATCAGGCCCACTTTACTCACAGTTTAGCCAGCAAATTTCTCCAAAAATTCCACTGTGGCAAAGAAAATGTCCTCAGTATTTCACCAACCAAGTTTGCAGACTCAATTCAATTTTTAAAGGAGACTTTTCTTTAATATTTTGCACATGAGAGGGAAGTCAAGGGATTTCAAAATGGGGCTAAATACTAGACTGGTACATGTTCAACCATGGTCCAACTATTCGAAAAGACTGACCTCATTTCATTCAAAGTCAATAGTCTGGTGGCTTATGGAGAAATGTGTAGCAAATTGAGACTAATTCCCGCTACTTCCCGTTTTGGGACTCTCATACACAGTATTGAGAGTCCCAAATTTTCGGACTATCACGGCACTAAACAACCCGCCAAGTCAAAAAAGCTAACCATGAAATTTCAAAGATTCAATACTGTATTGTGTATGTAGGTCCTAGTAACCCCTTTGCCAAACATGGTTCAGTTGGCTGTAATTGTTTAGACATTAGAGCTGATTTGATACATGTAATGTCAATCACGGTGGAATTGCCCAGATAATGAAGACATTAAATCCTGTAGCTTGTGTTGGTAATCTCGCCGTCGGTTGAATATTCTCTCCCAGAACTTGTCTGCACGGTTGACATGTACATGTGAACTCCAGTTCTCTTTCTCAGTGAGCGCTACATTTCAGCATATTCCTGTTTAGATTTTCGTTCTCCAAGTTTCCGTACAACCATGTCCAACTAATATATTAAAGTGCAAGCAGCAAACCTTTGTCCAGAAATAGAAGCAAAGAATTATAAGGTTTCAACTGTACAAAGTGTACGTTACATTAACATATTAAGATAGCATGCACATGCATGGCCTTGTGCAGGGCCAGGGCCCTGACCACAGTTTCCCCACATACACTTTGTTACGCAACGTTACGTAAATCTCACTGATAGCTGAGCTAGGCAAGGTCACTGGGCCGATGACCACCAGTGATTGTATGCTCTCTCATTGGTTGTATCTGTCAGTGCACAAACCATCGGCGCTGTTGTCTTATTGGCTCATTCTGGTTTGTACACGAACCATCGGTACCGATGGTTCGTGTACATTCAATTAAATGTCACTTCTATCGAGAGTGTCCGAGTAATGAAATGGACGCAGAACGCCAAAATCTGAGACAAACAAAAGTTAACGTACAAAATTCCATGAGCCGTTTCGCGGATACCGCCATCTTTGAAATGGGGGGGGGGGGGGCATTACATTGAAAAGTCATGCCATCATTCTCAGCTACAGTTGCATGATGAGAAGTATTTTCATTGTAATGCCTCCCCCCCCCCGAAAAAAAAAAATTCAAAGATGGCGGTATCAGCGAAAAGGCTCATAGAGTTGTCTAAGAGGCGTGGTTAACTCGCAAACGGCGGTAGGTCAATGGGTGGCGCTTTTCATGGCGGCACAATTGCTGACGTTTACACGAAATACCCAAAATTCTTTAAAAGCCGCTGGCGAAACAAGAAACTTTTTAAACAAAACTAAGGACACTTGTGTAAAAACTAAAAGTTACTTGTGTAAAAAGGGCACTCTTTACAGAATACTCGAGGGGGGGGGGTGTTAACTGCTGGTGCAAAAAATGGGGGCGGGGTGAGCAATAGATCTAACAGTGCTTGTGACCCAGTCTGACTGAGCTACTGTGGTCACCTGATCAAAAGTTGTGATCTGATTGGCCAATGTGCACTGTTGATGGACATGCAGGAAGGGTCCATTATAACCTTTTCTTTGATTTCTTGCAGGAGTCTACCTATTCCCAGGAAGCGTACTTGTTCAGCTTACATGTACATGTGCCGGCTGGAGACATTATCCAAGGATATGCTGTCAGCAGGGGCCTTGCATCACCTGACCAAATATGGCATCCAAATAAAAGTCAATACAAAGAAATTCACTTGAAATGATAAAGTGACAAAGGACAGTTCCAACCAGTTGAAAGACCCTCCTCACTTGAATGGAATTTGTACTTTGTTTTGATTGATTTCGTTAAGATTGTTTCTTTACCATCTAACGGGCTCACACTTTCACTGATGTTTTCAAAGTGAGTTTCTTGAATGCAATCAAGTAATACTGATTAAGAACAATAAAAGACTTTAAATAATTTGGAGTCTTTTAATCAAGAAACACTTGTCGCACTTCTACGGGCTTTAAAAACAACAGCCAACTCCACTTTTTCATTACTGTGGGCCCGTTTCTGTTTCAACTGAAAGTAATTAAAATCATGTTGTTTTTTTTCATAACGAAGCCAAGCGAAAAAAGAGAGTATTTATCAACAATGGTGGGGCTTTTGGTAATCCTCAGAATGAGGTTTTATGCATACTGTTTTCATAGCCAGTCAATTGTTACTTTTACATAATTCTCACATATTACAACATTTAAAATAATGCAATCATTTAATAAAAACCATTCTGTTCTAATTGCTGTGAATAGCATTAGAATATTTCAAACAATTGTTAATCTAAGTGCCAAGCTTAAAGTCTATAAGAAAATCAGATTCAATCACTCGAGACTTTTTTCGTGACTTGAAATAAAAATTGATACATGCATGGGGTTGATTTAATTGACATTATCTGTGCTGGGCATACAGGGAACATATGGCGAAGAAAATAACATGTTATAGTAAATGCTCTAAAATTATCCAGGTAGGTAGCAAAATATTTTGTTTGTCTGTTTGTCTTTTATACTTTGTTTGCTTCAATTAGGATACAGTTATTGTGTTTAATTAATCTGTTTTAAATGACCAATACTACAAACAAGTTGCATTTATTTTTGGGAAAAAACACGTTATTTTTATGTTGACCAAATGTGGCAATTAAAAAAATGGCGGTCAAAAACATGGCCGAGATAACGCCATAAACACAATCTGTTTTTAGTTGTTAACATTTCTGGATACATGGTGGCACTGCTTTATTGCAAACCTTTTGTTTCAAAAAAAAATTATGACCCAGCTTGCTTTGAAAAAATATTCCATCAAAATACTTCTTGATAGGCCTACAATGGGTCCAAAAAAAATATATCGTCAGAAAACTTAACGCATACTTTTCACTATATCTCAGTACTCATGCATATAAAGCTAAATATTTTTGTTTTGCAAAAAAAAAAAAATGGCAACTCCATTGTTGTAGGCTATACAGATTGGCGCATGCGCAATGCAAAACCATTAATAATAATATCTTAATTTTTGTGACATTGTCATTGAACATTATTTCTTTTATTTCATTGGTTATTGTTTCGGCAAAATGGAAAGCGATTAAAAAAAATCAGCAACACGATGCTCGTGTATCTCTATGTGTTGGATTGTGTTTATTCGGGGTAAAGGAGGAAGCCACTGAATGAGGTGTAGCGATCGGAACCACTAGCCGCCCTACCGTACATTGTGAGATACATCGTATCTCCACGCTGCAGAACCACCACCGCGCTCCCAGACACCTGCTCATAGTGACTTGAATCATTGCTACGGCCAGAGACAACCACGTCGCCGTTCTTCCGGAGATAAACCCACAGGCTGCTGCTGGAAGGATATTTGCACACAGAAAACATGAACACGTAGGTGCCCGGCACACCACACGTGAACGCGCCGGTCTCGAGATCGAAGCTGGTACCCGGCAGAAGCGTCTCGGTCGCCTGGAAGGGCAAACGGGTGTAGTCACTCGTAGAGGTATCCGAGCGGCTCGTCCTCACCACGGTGAATGCTACCCGCTGGTTGGAGTCGTCTGGTGCCTCCCCTGGCTCACCCTTTTGACCTTTGACACCAGTTTCCCCCGTTGGCCCTACAACACCTGGGACTCCTCTTGGACCAATTTTTCCGGGCTGGCCTATGCCTTCGTCCCCTTGAGGCCCAGCTGCTCCACGCTCACCCATAGGTCCAATCGATCCAATATCACCCTTTTGACCTGGCTCGCCCTTTGACCCTGGTTGACCTAAGGACCCAGGCAGACCTGGTATGCCGGGAATTGCAGCCGGCCCCTGGCAGCACATCGGACACGCCTGAGACGCAGGACCATCACCGTCCGAGGCAACCGGCCCAGTAACGGAAGCTCGGAGGTTGACGGAGTTACCCAGAAGGAGGGCGATTGAAAGAACGGTTGCCACGAAGATTTTCATTCTGTACAGAATAACAACGATTAAACTGAAACAAATCAGGTTAGATTTTTTTTCGATAAAATAGTTTTTAAAAAAGGGAAGAGTAGTGAAAAATATTGAGGTTTGATAACAGGAGAACTAGTCTAAAATTCATGACAATCCGCCGTCAGATTTGAAGGAAAAAAAACCCCAAAAACATGAGATTGGAGGAATCATTGTTCGAAGAATGTTTTCTTTGTGATATAACAGTGGCGTATGAGGGCTAACATTTATGAGAAGCCTAGTTTATAAAACCGGTTGTCATGGCAACCCATCGAATCGATTTTGTTTTTATTTCGCCCGCCAATAAGAGTTAAGAAAGGTCACCAAAATGCATTCCGATAGGGCAAAGCGTTCCGGAGCTGTAGTATTTTTTTTGGAGGGGGGAGGCGGAGCACATCTTGCCCCTTCCCCAGTCCTGATAGAATCATTAATTAAACCTCACCACACCCACCTCGATGGTTCGTTCTTGAAGATCAGGTCCAAGAAGAGATCACAAGGAATTCAGTGTAGGCTGAAAAAAACATACAAACGAATACTGGTTAAGTTTACATTTTAATACTGTTTTATTATCAATTAAGATAAATGAGTGCGATTTTTTTCTCATTGGGATCCATTGCCACCCCAAAACAGGACAAATTACTCACTAATTAATAAGGGTCAAGTAATTAGAATAATAGGTTTTCCTGTCCGAATTCGTCAAGAAAAACAACCTGTTTTAACGTCGCATTGTTCAATTTCTCTCGAATTGACTAATTCTTGAAATAAGCATAATATTTGTTTACACGTTATTATTGAAAGATTTTTTTTTAAAATTAATATTTGTGAAGGCTAGGCATGTATCTTTTTTTGAGACACTAGTAACTCGGTCAAAAGTCTGTTGGCATTCTAAGCTTTTGTTGCACTTGTCCAGGCAAATTTACTTTTAACTCCAGTTCACTATGAGTTTTAAAGCAGAAATGAACTTTTTCATTCACTATGAAATATTATAGGGTTTCGCACCCAATTTCATAGTTTGCTAATAATAATAATAAAACAACATCAAAATCGCATTAAACATGCAGACCTTTTCACACCCGGTTGAACTTTAATAGCGACAGCTCAAAATATTTGAGGGTATTCTTCATTCACGCGTGAAAAGTAAGCAACACATTACGTGACTTGTGCATTGAATTTCTTGTGCTTTGAATTTCAGTCCCGCTCGGGAATTCACTTTGATGCATACGTTTACAAAAGCAACACAGTTCAATGATATTTGGAAGTTGCATTAGCAAGATATTGTGTTATAGTGATACAACAGAGTATAAAATGACATGGCTTTTGACAAGTTTGGATTAAGGAATCTACAGCTATTTCAAAGATTGGAATGCCTGGGAAGGGAATATGAAAAAAAAAACAGAACAGAACTGTATCAATGTTTAGTGTCAAAGTGATAGAAGGAAATACATTTCGAACACTCGCCGATAAAATACTATGTGAAAATACAGATTTTTATGTAAGGACAATTAAGTGACCAGTTTATAAATTGTTGTAATCACTCTTTGGAAATAAAAAAAAATTAAAAAAATCATATAAATTTGTGGGTTTTTTGTATGGCCAACACGATTGGCGATTCGCGAATTGCAAATTAAATGGACTTCTTATTCCACTGCACTTTCGTTAAAAATGAATACTTCCTCTTACAGATTCGCCTACACTCAGTGCAAAAACCAACAAAAGAAATGGATTTTCTTTTGCACGAAAAAGTTGCCTACACGCTTTGGTGGGTGTAAAATATTTTTTAAAAATCGAATGCGCTAACTGCGACCTTTTGCAATGTAATGAACAGTCTCTCTTATTGGACGAAAAGTTGCGAAATTGGACGGAAAAAACTATGATTCCCGAAGTTGATAAACAATCACAAACGAATTACAAAGTGATGAACGATCAAGAAAAAATTAGGACAACGGTTGCGAACACAATTCCGATTTTAAAAATAAATAAAAGAAGACAAATTCCAAAGAATCTGATTACACAGCAACTAAATATTGGTGTGATCAATATTGTTTTCATCTTAGTTCTCTTTTTTTGCCAACTGATGTACCTGCAAAAAAAAATGTGAAGGAAATTTCAGCGTGTTTCCGCTATAAGTTCGAGGCACCCTGATGAGTTTAACGAGGAATTTGCAAAGACTGCAGGCCAAAATGTCTGGCACAGTTCTACGGTGGGTGTTATTGGAAGGGAGTATCACTCGAGGGATGTTTTCTCTTAAAATTTTGACCAAAAGATGTATAAATATAGAGAAAAAATACAGTCTCCCACCAAAATCACTGCTCTGTTCTGATGATTGAGTGAGGAAAATGTCAAATAACAGACACTCACCTCGATGTAACGTTCTTGAATTCTATCACGAAGGGAATCCTCAACACTCAGCAGATTGCGAGCTGGAAATAACACCAACGAAAACGAGTCATTGAAAATCCGCTGGGAGGTATCTTGGGGGCTGTTGGGGGAGGCATAGCTGAATTTCACAAGTAAAACACCCCCAGATCAAAATCTCTGTCGGGCGAAATGTGATCTGGATTGATAATATATTTTTTAAGCGGAATGCGTCCTGCATGCAACGGCCCTGAACAGACCCACGCACGAGCAACAATATTCATGTCTTCTTTGAAGGATTTAATATTTTCGAATCAAACGCAGTAACTACCAAAACAAATGCCCAGATTTTCTGAGAGAAATCTGTATGCAAAAAGAATTTAAGGCCACGTAGGATCATTTGCAATTGCCCGAAAAAGTACATTTAATGACAGAAACCTTGCAATGCTGAGAGTGAAAATAAGACTGGTATCAAATACCCGGTGAAAGTATTTCGCCTGATATATCGGTTGAAAACTTTGCAGGTGTTTTTAAAATTAAAAAAGAATAGTTAAGGTGTTATAAAGCACGGAATCAAGTAACGAGATCCAACAAAATAGTGCATACGTTTTCTCTGCTTTTTCTCAATGATAGTATCCACTGAGCTGAAACTTCAACAGGTTAGTTGCGACCTTCTTAAGTTTTTAAGCCATTTTGTTGCTTCTCACGAAAAAAAGATTCAAAAGCAAATAATCCTATATTTTTTCTTTTTTAAATTGCTTGCATTTGAAATTGTAGGAATCACAATGAGCATACATTTTCTGCATTATCAAGGACAATCGATCTCATACCAAGGAAGTAGCGGCGGAAATCAGGTGGGCACCGCAGTCAAGGTACGGTCGTTACAAAAATAATTATGTTCCGGATTGGAAATCAGCGCACCGGTTTGACTACTAGCATCATCCCCGATTTGTTTGTTAACCGAATAAGGCCCCCCCAAAAAGTCTCCGGTTTCTGGTATGGAGCTTGCCCAAAAAGCGGTGCGGCGACGCGGCTTTTTTTTTTTTACCTGATTTTTTTGCTTCAAATGTCGGCTGATGACTGCAAAAGGTTGCCCGACTAAACTTAGTGCAAATATAATGGGAGTCCAGAGAGGCCACATAAAGCTTATTCTCGATCATAACCCCATCTTAAAACACGTTAAAATTGTGCAGCAGCTGGATTCGAGTCAAACCAGTGAGTTTGGCGGTTTTGAGACATCATCTTTCATTGAAAAAAAAACTTTTTCATTTTGCCGACGCGCATGGCTACGGCGACGCGCGCGCATACCAGAAACCGGAGACCTTTTTTTGGCGTAATGTCCTTTTTTTTATTATTATTATTTGTGTACCAACTGACCAAACACTTTCAAAGTATCCAGCAAATACTACTATCGCCATTTCAAGACAATATTCAACGGAATCTAAGTGGCATGCTGAGTGGAACCCTGCATGCAAATAGAGCTTGTGCTTCATATTTTAAGACGAATAGCGGACAAGGCGGATCCGGGGAGGGGGGAGGGAAGGGGGCCATGCCCCCCCCCAAAAAAAAAACCCAACAATTTTGTTTTTAAGTGACGTCGCAATAAAGGCAGGCACTTGGTACACTACCATCTTTTCGAAACAAAAAATGGTTAAAGTGGTCAGAAATTTCCTCAGATCGCCACAGAGCATTTAGAATTACAAAAATTCGGGGCCCATGATTAAGCGGGCCCCGTGAACCCCACGCCGCAATTTTTTGGACCCACTTTCCGGGGACCAAATTTTTTTTTTTTGGGGGGGGGCTACCCCCCAAAAATTGTGTTCTGGATCCGCCCGTGACAGGGAACAGAAGGGACGAATAATGTGCACAGACATCAACGCTGTACATGATTGCTACAAATGAATCCAACTAGATAAAGCATTTTGAACTTGAATAAAACTGTGAGCATCATCGCGATCCGGTCCGTTTGTGTTTGCGCCCTCTATATTCAGTGACACGTTCATCCTGCAGTGATTGAATCTTTGATGATCAAACCGGAATGGCGCACTGTGAACTCTAGCGAAATGACACAGTTTAACAACAAAGTTCAAAGGGTACTGAGTATCCACATAAATGATAACACGAAATAAGACAGGCATGTTTGAGTTGTCCGGATTTCCTGATAAACGTTCTTCGTGACCAACTTTTCCATAACTCTTCATCCTGAATTAGTTTGAGTGATTGCCGGAATACAATGTGAGTACATCGAATCAGGATTTCATGTTTAAAAATTAAAATGATAAATTAAACGGGGAAAAAACGAGGCAGAAAATAAGGGGGTGGTTGATCATACCTATATACTGTTTAGGTTAAAGAGTCGAACATTCGCAAGATTGTTTTCTTTAAACAAAAATGTTAACGCAGTAATTTACCTGAACTATTACAAGTGCGTGAATTATTTTGAATAATTGCCAATCCCGATCAATTTCAACTATTCTGAATCACAGCAGGGAACTTGAAGTAATGAGCTCTTAAAAAAATGCATCCAAAATTTGATTCAAAACTAGTCGAATCTGAACAACTTTGTTTTTGACACTGAATTATTTCGTGTATGTATAGTGTTATATCAGACAAGATATATCGTCTTAAAAAAAACTGAAGACGTTTTCGAAATAGTGTGCCGG